CCCTAAGACCTCTGTTGAAGGTTCCAGACTCCTAAGTATAAAAAAAGAAAAATTTTGGCTTAAATTTGGAAGTTGATTCATATTATACATTAAAAGTGCCATTAAGGTATTTGATCAACATTTCTTACATTTTTTAGGATGGTAGTTATTGCTGTTAAATTGAATCAACCATCATAATTCTTCCATTCCAAGGGCATATCAATTCCGAAGAAAATGTAGCACATAGGAGAAACATACTCCTTACAATATTAATGTCAAGAGTTAAACATCTTAAAAGTTCAACCTAGAATAAATGAGTTGATGCTTTTGCTTAATACATGGGATTTAAGAAAATAATTTTCATGTGTCAGGCATGTCTTTTCAGGCTATTATGGGGAAGCTGTCGAAATTTGTTCTTATAAATAAAATACCTATTGCCATTCACACCATTCATAAAAGCTACTTACTATAATGTAGGGGAAATACAAAATTATTATATAAGGGTAACACATAAATTAAAGTGTACAACTTTAAATATGTCAAAATGAACCCCAAGATTATGTAAAATTATACTAAACTAAGAAAAACATTTTAAAAGTATACAACTTTTAAAACATTAAACAGTTTGTTACTCTAGAAGAGAACAAATGCAAAGGCTCATTTAAATCTATAAAAGCAGTACCTTGAATTAATCTGGAACTCTTGTAATTAGCTTAAAGAAGTGTGCATGTGGTGTGTGTGTGTGTGTGTGTGTGTGTGTGTATGCATGCACATGCACACATCTCACAACTGCCCTAAAATTACCACCACTTTGTTTTGAGGTGCTGGGGATCAAACCAGTACATGCTAGGCAAGTACTCTACCATGGAGCCAAATACCTAAATCCCAACTTTTTTCCCAATGATGGAAATGGAACCCAGGGCCTTATGCATGGCACACAAGCACTGTACCACTGAGCTGCATCCCCTGTCCTAGCAACATTTTGATGATGGAATTAAAAAAGACTCCATAACTATATTGCCTAAAATCAGAGAGTGAAATAATGACAGACTAACCTGTAATTGATTTCTCCCACCTATGTATTAAAAAGTCAAGGGAGGGCAAGGATTGTAGCTCAGTGGCATAGCACTTGCCTACAATATGTGAGGCACTGGGTTTGATCCTCAGCACCACATAAAAATAAACTAATAAAATAAAGGCATATCATCCATCTACAACTACAAAAAAAATTTTTTTAAGTCAATGGAGAAGGATTTTTTCTTTATCTTTTAAGAGTATGTTCTTTAGTAAGGTACAGTGGCACACACACTGTGATCCCAGAGAATCTAGAGGCTAAAGCAGGAGGATCCCAAGTTCAAAGCCAGCCTCAGCAAAAGTGAGGCACTAAGCAACTCAGTGAGACCACATCTCTAAAAAAATATAAAATAGGGCTGGGAAGGGGCTCAGTGGTTCAGTGCCTGAGTTTAATCCCTGATACCCTTAAAAATGAAAAAGTCATTGGAGCAGGATATTTCCTTATCCCTAAAGAGTACATTCTTTAGTCAGGTGCAATGGAACACACACACTGTGGACCTAGAGAATCAGGAGGCCAAAGAAACAAGATGGCAAGTTTGAGGCCATGCTTGGTGACTTTACAGGCCCTGTCCGAAAATAAAATAAAAAAAGGATGAGAATGTGGCTCATGGGTTCAGAGTACTCCTATGTTTAATCCCCAGTTCCAAAAAATAAAAATAAAAAAGTTTGTTTTTTAATTCTGTGAAGAAGACTGCAAGCTCCCTAAGAGGAGGGACTTGTGTCTGCGCCAAACCTCACCTCCTACTATCACCAGCACCTAGAACAGTGCCTGCCACAGCATTTTTTAAAATATTTTTTTAGTTGTCAATGCACCTTTATTTTATTATTGATATGTGGTGCTGAGATCAAACCCAGTGCCTCACACAGGATAGGCAAGCACTCTACCACTGAGCTAGAAACCCCATCTGATAGCACATGTTTTTGTTAAGAAAATTTGGGAGAATGCAGCCACATATATTCAAAACCACAGGTCATGGCTATGTCCTAGAACACTTGTCATCAAATGCCACAGTATTAGGAAACATTTGGTGAGAAGATTAAGAGTATAAAGGGGAAGATAACCCTGACCTCACAAAAAGACATCAAAAGCTGCTGCTCCAAACTATTAACTGGAAATATCAAAAACAACGACAGCAAAAACTCAGGACAGATGGTTGGACAAGATACAGCAGACAAGCACTTGGCTCAGCACAGATGGAAAACAAGACCTAGAGAAGAAAATCTTGTTACCCAGTCATAACTGTGACATCACTAATGAGTGATGGGAAAGAACTTCTTGGAAGCAGTGATCTCCTGAGAGATGAAAGGAATGCTCTGAGACCAGGCAGGGTGGGAGTCAGAAAGAAGACAAAAACAAAAATGAGAGAAAGAAGATGTTATAGGAGAAGCTGTCAGACATCTACACTTGGTAAGCTGGAAATTCTAATGAGTAGAGGGCTCTGTGGTCTCTTGTCAGTCATCCCTATTCACTGACTTTTATAGGGTGAACATCTTTAAATTTCCCAAAGATGAGTTATCTCTTGGGAGAAAAAAGAAAGAAAAAAAAAAAAGCCTAGAGCTAACATGAACTGAAGTTAGCTTCAAGGGTCTTAAAAACATTTCTCCACTGATACTAATAATGTTCTTTTTTATTATTATTATTATTAGTTGCTCAAGACAATACATGTTCTTTCTGGAAGAGATTTACATGATCCAATCATTCATATACACAGAGCTACTGCTGAATCACAATTTGTGGCATACTTCCAGGTCCTCCAAGTAACATCACAGCCTCAATGCAAGCCAAGTCCATTCTGGAAGACTCTTTGTCTAGGAGGGGAGATGGATGAGATGTGGAAGGAAAGTATAGAAGAACTGAAAACTAAAAATTCTCTTTGGTGGGCTTCTACCAGGCCAGGAGGCAAGCTAATTGTAGGTTCAGGAGTAAGAAGTAGCAGCCAAAGGAAAACTGGCCATTCTAGTGCCAAGAAGGGAATGAGGGCAAGAGAAGGAAATACTGCAACTAGGAAGGAACCATCTTGGGAGGATTTAGGACCCTTACACAAGCAGTTCTGAGGATCAGAGCAGTGCCATCATTAGTGCGACTCCACCATTTCTTTTCTTCTCTCTTCACTTACCAATACCATCACTACCTAACACAAGGTACATAGCAAATGACGATGACCCAGCCTGACAAACTGAGCTGTTGGAGAAGCCAAGTTTGGCAAAGGAATGTCATGAACTCAATATACAAAATAAGCCACAACATACACTAAAGGACTTTATCAAATGCAGGAAATGTTCTCCTTTCCTTTGGAAAAAAAACTCAACATAAAAACATAATCAATATTCCCAAGTAATAAAAGACATTGTCAGGCTCTTCACTTGTGGATACCTCCTTGCTAGAGCTTAATGGAAGCCAACACAGGAACAGGTCATGGGTGACAACTGTGCTCCATAGACAGGGTCAGATCCAGGACCACAACCTCAGCCTTGCTCTGAGTTAGGTTTCAACAGGCCAGGCTTTCTGTATCAGGATTCAGAGAGGCATGTGCCTGGCACAGTGGCAAGAGGATCGCAAGTTCAAGGCCAGCTTGGGCAACTTAGTGAGACCCTGTCTCAAAATTTTAAGAATGGCTGGAGGTATAGCTCAAAGGTAAAACACTCCTGGATTCAATCCCTACCATCACCAAAACAAACAAACAAAAAAGCCAGAAAAGAAATGAGACCTAAAACTTTAAAAGATTGGGCCATTCTCTGAAAGATTCTGAAATTATACTAAAATTAATTTGGAAAATGAGATGTGGAAAATATTCCTTCTCACACACATACACATATAATTACAAAAAAAAATATAAGTATATATAATTATGTAGGTTACATATTATTCATATAATTACATATGCTATCTTATGTGCTGTACATATACTTATGCATATATACATAATTATGTATATTATATATGCTGCACATATGCATTTTTTATATGCAGAGTGACAAAGCAGGGGCACAGGGTAGGAAAAGCACATTACATTCTGAATAAAAGCATACAATTCTTAATGCCTTTATGATAAGCATTATGAATTACTGTAAATAAAGACAATTAATCAGATTATAGTTTTTTTTCTTGGAGGGGCGGGTGGTTACTAGGAATTGAATCCAGAGGTATTCTACCACTGAGCTACATCCCAAGCCCTTTTTATTTATTTATTTTTTTAATTTTGAGGCAGAGGCTCGTTAAATTGTGGAGGCCAGCATTGAACTTGGCGATCCTCCTGCCTCAGCCTCCCAAATAGCTGGAACTATGTGTGCTACTGTACCCACTAGTCAGATTATTACTCTATTTATGAACAATGGGAGAGGTAGTGATGTGATCTCCTTAGAGATAATCATTCCAATGTCCCCTATCACATGTACTAAATGCAAGCCTACAGAAATTAAATCATACCTAGAAAAGTGTACATGTCCAGAAATTAAGTATTTAGAAAAGGAAAAGCAAAAATCAGAAGGTTTAGGCTGGAGACAGAGAAACATCAAACGGGCAGAGCTTCCATGTTTGAAATGCTATCATGCAAGAGGAGGGATAAATGTGTTCTGGGTAGGCAGATGAAACCACAGGCAGGAAGGAGAGAGAAAAACAAACTACATTCCCCATATTTATGAACTTCTTAACAATCGGGGCCAAATTGGGGTGAAGGAGCCCCATGAAAATGGGCAGCATCTGAATAATATCAGGAACCCAAGGGAAGGAGGAAGAGTCAGCCTCTCTTAGAAGGGACTAGGGCACTGCTCACTGGGTGTGTGGCTTGCTGCTATCCAGTAGTCATCACTAAAGAAAGATACTCCAACATGGCCTAAGTGGTCTGACCAGCATTCAGAGACATTAATTCCTTATCCACCTGGCTCCTAATATCAAACCCCTAAAGGAGATATCACTAAAATCAGTATTCCCTGGAGAAAGAATGTACCTGTTGATGTGGCCTTGTGTTCAAGAAATAACTGTGGGCACCAACCACATGCAGAGAGAGCCCTTGATGGCTCCAGGTCCTCCTGCAGACTTGAAAAGTCTCTCGAAAGCAGTTCACCTAATACAGAGAGAACACTCATCAAAGAAAGTGTTGATAGGACTTACAGCATCCACTCTCCTCAGGAATCAAGTCACACCCTTCCATTAGCACAAGCCTCACGTTCCTGCACTTGGATCTTGCCTTCCATCTTTGCTCCCTCTGAACACACGCATGTTAATCCAAGAGAGGGACTAAGCTAGCGCAACGAGAGAGAACACATGCCACACTAGTGATAATGTCATCCTAGAAGTAGGGAGGCCAAAGAGGGAGGCTACCGGAAGACACTCAAGGAAGAAGGAAGACAAAGAGTCCACCAAGGAGCTGAGGTGACCACATGACTCAGGCTTAGTCACTCGCTACACACTGCTCCCTTAACTTGTTTGATCCTTGCGTCTGATACCTCTCACTCTTGACCATTTCCCATCTCAAACAAATCAAGCTTACCTCAAGCTCCCCACCTCTATAAACTCTTACTTTTTCCTCTACTCCATTAAGTTGATTTATTTTGGAGGGGGCAGGGTACCAGGAATGGAACTCAGGAGCACTTGACCACTGAGCCTCATCCCCAGCCCTATTTTGTATTTTATTTAGAGACAGGGTCTCACTGAGGTGCTTAGAACCTCACTGTTGCAGAGGCTGGTTCTGAATTCGCAATCCTCGCCTCAGCTTCCTAAGGTGCTGGGATTACAGATGTGCACCACCAAGCCCTGCATTTACCTTTTTGAAAAAGAAATGTACATTTGCTGCCTGCCTTCCATGTTGCCATCTTCCCTCTCGCTCCTCAGCAAGCATTCAATACATGCTGGAGCCAGGATCACCAAAAAAACCTTAGAGGTTACAAGGAACAGGAGCAGGTATGTCAAACAGAGAGTGACTTGGTAGAGCGGTGAAGACTGAGTTTATTTCAAGCACACTGTATTTGAGGTAAAGCAGAACATACCCATGTTAATCCAAGAGAGGGACTAAGCTAGCGCAACGAGAGAGAACACACGCCAAACTAATGATAATGTCATCCTAGAAGTAGGGAGGCCAAAGAGGGAGGCTACCGGAAGACACTCAGAGGAAGAAGACAAAGAGTCCACCAAGGAGCTGGAAGCACGGCTCCTAGCCTCACAGGCGTTGAGGAAGGAGAACACACTGGGAAAATGGAGTAACAACACTGGTCAGGGGGTGAAATATCACAGATAAGCTGAATAGAATGAAACACTATAAATTGTGTATGGGGGGTGTTAATCACTAGGAGGTTATCAATGATCTCTGAAAAGTTGTTTTCAGTTAAGTGTAGGATATAAACCACAAATTCACACTTATTCACCATGCATTCTTACGCTATACAAAATCCCATGTAAAATATTCACAGACAAACTCAGAAACCACTAGGAGAATACTACTCCTGGGCCAGAGCAGGCAGTGGGTGGCAGTCACACTAGTATACAGGGAAAATTAAAGACAAGAAATCTGTTCCTCTAATTATCCTATGAGCAAAACAGAAAAATCATATAATCAGCTCCCCAAACACTCTAACAGCATCTGAAAAAGCTGACATTCACTTTTATATTCTTCTATACTGGGGACTAAACCCAGGGGCACTGTACCACAGAGCCACATCCCAGCTCATTTCAGTATTTGAAACTGGGTCTTGCTAAATTGCTAAGGCTTGCAATCCATCAGCTGGTCTTGCTAAATTTCAACTTGCAATCCTCCTGCCTCAACCGCTTGAGTAGCTGGGGTTGCAGGTATACGCCACTACACCCAGAGGCATTCACCCTTGATTAAAACAAACTTTAAATAAAACAGGAATAGTTGACTGTTGTCTTAATATTATTCCAATATTAATTATACCAACATTACAGAATCATGATTTATGAGAAAGCACTAGAAGTATTCCATATAACTCCAAAATCTAAATTCAACAATGGAAATCAGCAGGGCTGGGGATATATCAGTTGGTAGAGTGCTTGCCTCGAATGCCCTGGCTCCATCCCCCAGCACACACACAAAAAAACCATCTATTATCAGGAAATTTCCCCCCAAAAAAATTACAAAGTCCTCTAAAAGTTATGAAAAGATGCTCAATCTCACTCATCAGAAAAATGCTAATTAAAAATGACAATGAGGGGCTGGGTTGTGGCTTGGCTGCAGAGCACTCACCTAGCATGGGCAATGCACTGGGTTCGATCCTCAGCCCACATAAATAAATAAATAAATAGATAGATAGATAGATAAAAGTGTTGTGTCCAACTACACTAAATATATATATATAATTACATATAAAAACACACACACGTGTGTGTGTGTGTGTGTGTGTGTGTATATATATATA